CCCCTCACCCAATTCCACCATATCAAAATAAAAGCCTCAATGATTATCTGTACCTTAACCATGAAGCTCAGAATGAAGCGGTTTCGTTGAAATACGTATTGCTCTTTCAAATACTACTACAACCACTACAAATATTACTAGTACTACAACTGATAATTTTACCATAATACTAGTATTTCCACTGCTATTAATACTTACAACTACTACAAATGTTATTACAAATACTACTATGAATAATAGTATTAGTAGTACAGCTGTTTCTACTGATATTGATACTAAACAGTGCTGTAGTAGTTGTGTCAACACAACACAACAAGACAATTGCAGATTAAAAACTATCTACATACGGAGTCTCTTTTTTACAGTAGTGCCCAGAGGGCCTCCTTGTCCTCCACGTCAGGTCCTGCCAAGCACAGAACGGGTTCATGGCTCCTCTGTGCTTCTCCTCTCTCTATTCGACCTGGTGTTTTTCCTCTCCCTGTGTTGAATTTAAGAGTTAATCAGTTAAGCAGCCTGTCAATTACACTGACAACATAAGTTAAAGGAACACTCATGTACTACCTATGTCATCATAAATGTTCCGCCCGCAACGACTACTACACCCCCCCCCGTCAGACCTTCTCGACCGGTCCGCGAAATATTGTTGGGGACCACTGGGCTGATCCACAACGTGTATGTGTTACACACCTCCTGGATCCTGATTGGTGTCGCTGCTGCAGCCGCAAGGCACTGATTGGGTGGTCCCAGACCGTAATACAGCGCAGATGAAAATGATTCAGACTACGGCGTTTATATGTACATCAATAGGAAACGTAGTCTTAGCTGTTTTAAAATTACACCAAGTTTATTTTGGATTATTCCAACGGAAGAATCCAAGGCGCAGGGAACTTTGAGGTGCGTAAACGCCACTTAGACGTGCGTAAACGCTATTTCCAAAAGTCTAGGATTCTAGAGGAGGTGCATACGTGCATTTACCCTCCACTACAGCCCTGGTTGTGTGTCTAAATGCTCTAAACATGTGGCTTGTTTCATGTGTAATCTCCAGAGTTTCTGCCTCTCCTGACTCACAAAGATGGCTGCAGCTCTGACTCTCCTTCTCATTGGTTCTCTGCTGCAAGGTGAGCTGCTCTGCATTCACATCTGGATCATTGAGTATTAAAAATACAGAATGTACATTGTTAGTGAAGAATTCACACCACAGTACAACAGTATGTGTAATATATGCTGCAGCAACAGAAGGACACAGTGAGCAGCTAAAGTGTTCTGCTGCTTTTTTAATACATTTTCTTAAAAATGTCCTTAGAAATGAACACAGAATCTTTAGAGTTGTTATTTTGGATTGTTATAAGAATGAGTTATATTGGTAAGATTTTAGTGAGGTAACCAAGCGGTAAATATTAAGCGTGACTTTAAACTTATTCCTGATTTGTTTCTTGTGTTTCAGGTGCTCAGAGTAAAGAGTTTAACGCAATTGTGCCGCAGACTATAGAGGTTCTTAGAGGATCCTGTGTGACCATCCCCTGCTCCTTTGAGATAGAAGATAAATATGAATCAAACCTAGATGACAAATGTAGAGCAATATGGAAACTTGATTGGGAAAATGTTGTTGTGTTTAACAGCAAAGATCCACAAACACTTTTAAATAAAGGAGAACTGACAGGAGACTTGACAAAAAAAAACTGCACCACAACCCTGAACAACATTCAACCTGCTGGCAGCAATAGTTATTTCTTCAGGTTGGAATGTGACAACGGTCTAAAATATGATTTTTCTGCAAAAAGAGTTCTTCTTTCAGTCAAAGGTATTAAAGTCGGTTTGTTTACATTTTCTCTCTCTTACCTCTTATCTCTTACTTTTAGAATATTTTTTTTTGGTATTTTTCAGCATTGGTAGATTTTAGTAAACCATTAATTAGCTCACTATAAAAAATTAATTATGACACAAATTATTCTTAGTTGCAGTTCCGGGTTAAGGGTCAAAATTGTCATTTTACGAAACAGACACCTCGATTTAAATGTTATCCACTATCAACACTGGATTGTGAAAGAAATTAAGTAGATTTAAATTGAGGTTTTTTGAAACGATGAAGTGTGTTCTCTCTCCTTTTCTCTCTCTACATAATCTGCCGTGTTTTCAATACAATATTACATCTAGAAAATTTACAAATAATTTAATTCTCCAGATTCCCCCAAAGTCACCACAGTGTCAGTCTGTCCCTCTGGTCCAGTACTAGAGGACAGTAGTGTGACTCTGACATGCAGTAGTACTGCTAACCCAGCAGTGAAGAACTACACCTGGTACAGAGCGGATGGAGAACAGGAGACTTTTATTGGGACGGGACGTGTTCTCACCATTAAAGCCTCTAAAGAAGACAGTCCTTTTCTCTGCAAGGCTCACAATGAT